TTCAACCTTTTCTTCCGTGTCAAGGAAATGATTAGAAAACTACATGTTGTGTTTCTCTATTTCCTTTACTTTTAATTAGTATTTCCTTTTCTGCTTTCGATACTGGGTAGGAAATCCATAGCTTCCCTGTCGCCTTTTTGACTCGGTGGGAAAAGAGTATTAGAAATAGAGAATGAATGGGACCATGTTAATATGGCTGAGTTCGATATGAGTTGGGTCCCCGTATCATGTGAAAGATATAAAGGCAAAGTGACATGTAAAGGATTAAATGTCGGTAGTAGTTGGCATTAGATCTTCGAGATTTACAGCTTTCAAGGTCTTGTCTTATGGTCAGTATTGCTTGCAGGATCTTACATTAAATTTAATTTTTGCTGTTTGAAGCAGGAGCATGGTTTTGCTTTCCCTTTCCATTCTCTTCTGGTTTGGTGGATACTTTTTGTACCCATTACTTGGATCCCTCCTAAAAAGCTACTTCTGTTGCAATTGCGTCATCTGTTAGTTGGCCATTTTTCCTGTCTTTGTCATTCTCAACTGTAAAATTAAACCATCACTACGTGCAGGCATGTTATATATTAATGGATTTTCTTTAATTTTCATAAGTATCTCATGTCCCTTTAGAGCTTATGCAGATCAAATTTTTTTAACTGGATCTAATTACTTGTTTCCCTCTAACCGTGAAGATTAAATTTGTGATGTTGTGATGCGATTTTTTTTTTTTGTTGATTTCTTTTCTTATACATAAGCAAAGGTGAAGTGATGCAATTCCTATTTTAGCAAAACCAGAGCTTTTTTGTTTTGTTTTAAACTGATTGGTAGGATTACAGAGTGTTGATTTTGGAGTGTAGAGCATTGTCATTGCAAAAAAATAAAATAAAATTCCTGTCTGCTTTGACTGATTGGTGGCTTTTGATATTACAGTAATTGATTATTTCTGAAATCATGAAGCACAAAGATGGAAAATATCATTCCCAACCTGATAAAGGTTTCAAGGTTTTCCCTGCAACATTACTGGTTATTGTGCTATGTGGGTTTTCTTTCTACCTTGGTGGAATCTTCTGTTCTGAGAAAAATAACTTGGAGGGCAAGACAGTCCAGGATGTTTCCAAGGCAGTTCCTCCTTCTAAGGAATCTGCAATAAACCCGGTTCAAATCAAACCGATTACCTTCCAGGAATGCAGTATTGATTATCAAGACTACACTCCATGCACAGATCCCAGGGTAAGACATGATCATTCAATTAATGATTTTACAGGCTGCTTAAGTTAGAATGTTGTCCTGATGAGGTATGCTTATTGCTACAGAGGTGGAAGAAATATGGTGTCCATCGCCTTACTTTCTTGGAACGCCACTGTCCTCCAGCGTTTGAGAGGAAGGAATGTTTGGTTCCACCTCCTGATGGGTATAAGCCACCTATCGCATGGCCAAAGAGCCGGGATGAATGTTGGTACAGGTATTATAGCTTGTTTCTTTTTTGCTAATTTATAATGGGAGTGTCAATTGCTGTGTTAAATTATTTATTTATCCATTTATTTGAAGTTTATGTTGATCTGGTTTCAGGAATGTCCCATATGATTGGATCAACAAGCAGAAGTCTAATCAGAACTGGCTGAGGAAACAAGGGGATAAGTTCCTGTTTCCTGGTGGTGGAACTATGTTCCCCAGAGGAGTTGGTGCATATGTGGACTTGATGCAAGATTTGATCCCTGAAATGAGTGATGGCACAGTTCGAACTGCGATTGATACTGGTTGTGGGGTGAGTCGCATTTTCTGTTTTCTATTTTCAATTGACATATGGGAGGAAATTGATTGTCCATCTCTTTGCTTCTCACTTCCCCTTGCTGTTCTCTGCCTTTGTTCTTTTCTAAATTTAAATTCTTTTGATTGATTTATATCCAGGTTGCAAGTTGGGGAGGTGATCTATTAGATCGTGGAATTCTGACAGTTTCTCTAGCTCCAAGAGATAATCATGAAGCTCAGGTCCAGTTTGCATTGGAACGTGGAATACCCGCAATCCTTGGTGTCATTTCTACCCAGCGCCTTCCTTTCCCTTCAAGTTCATTTGATATGGCGCATTGCTCAAGATGCCTTATCCCATGGACTGAATTTGGTAAGTGAATTTCCTCTACTCTGCTCAAACTTAAATATAGAGTCATATGAACTAACATTATCTTGCAGTTATGATATCCACCGGGCACAAAGTAAGAACCTTCATTTGGTTGCCACTTGCTGTTTTTAAACAATAGATGCTCTTGCTTTCAGGTGGAATTTATCTCCTTGAAGTTCATCGCATACTCCGTCCTGGTGGTTTCTGGGTCTTGTCTGGTCCTCCCGTAAATTATGAAAATCGGTGGCGTGGTTGGAATACAACTGTGGAAGAGCAGAAATCTGATTATGAGAAGTTGGAGGACTTGTTGACGTCAATGTGCTTTAAATTGTATGCCAAAAAGGATGATATTGCTGTGTGGCAGAAATCTTCAGATAATAGTTGCTATGATAAGCTTACTGATCCAGACGCGTACCCAGCCAAGTGTGATGACAGTCTTGAACCAGATTCAGCATGGTACACTCCACTCCGTCCATGTGTTGTAGTTCCAAGCCCAAAACTTAAGAAAACTGCCTTGGAATCCCTGCCAAAGTGGCCAGAGAGGTTGGAAGTTGCCCCTGAACGCATTTCAGATGTTCCTGGTGGGAGTGCCAGTACTTTAAAGCATGATGACAGCAAGTGGAAGGTGCGGGCCAAGCACTACAAAAAGTTACTCTCTGCAATTGGGACTGATAAGATAAGAAATGTAATGGACATGAATACAGCTTTTGGAGGTTTTGCTACAGCTCTTATTGATGATCCCCTGTGGGTCATGAATGTTGTCTCTTCCTATGCTGCCAACACACTGCCTGTGGTTTATGATCGGGGCCTTATTGGATCTTATCATGACTGGTAATTTCAATTACATATATATGAACTTTGATACTTCGGTATGCATTGGGAGTATAGCTCCGAGACTGTAACATGCTTACTCTTTTGATGCTCAGTTTTTCATGGGGTTTAATTTGTTTTCTCTTTTGTAGGTGTGAAGCATTTTCAACATATCCTCGGACATATGATCTCCTTCACCTTGATGGTCTCTTCACTGCCGAGAGCCAGAGGTAGGCATTGGGTTTATGTTCCCATTTGATGTTTTCTAGATTTAATGGTACTTCTAATGGATTCTTTATGTCTTGCACTTTATTCTGGGTTGGAATATTTTAGATTGTTATTACAATTTACAACTACATGGATTTGCATTTGGTACAGCCGTTGCCTGATTTCATACAGTTGATATTTGAAAATGTTGCGTGAACAGAGGGCATAGATTTGTCTTGTGTCTGCGAAAATTAGGTTAAAAGGCAGAATAGAAGTAGGTAAGCTACTTGGTTGAGGTTGATCATTATGATATGAGCTTGTGTCAAAGCAAAAATTTTGTCAAGTGTTTTGAATCCTGCTGATTTAATATTTTCAGTGAAGTAGACAAGTTGGACCCATGTTCCAACACAATCAAATCCTCTTAATCTTGGTTTGAAATTTGTACTTGTGCTCATATTCTGTATGCCAGAACTAGTTTATATCTGAAACCTTTGTGCATCTGGCATGACATAACAAACACTTCAAAGGTTTTATGTTCAAGGTTAGAAAATTAAATAGGTAGTTATCAAAATGCATGCTAATTGACTGAGATGATGCACTATGAATGATTAAATAGGGATTTTTGAATTGTTGCCGCATGTTCTGAAAATTATTGTTGCTTCCCCAGGTGTGATATGAAGTACGTGCTCTTGGAGATGGATCGTATTCTGCGTCCTAATGGGTATGCATTGATACGAGAATCCAGCTATTTTGTTGATGCCATTGCCACCATTGCTAAGGGCTTGAGGTGGGGATGCCATAAAGAAGACACTGAATATGGTGTGGAGAAGGAGAAGATATTGATATGCCAGAAAAAGCTCTGGTATTCCTCTAACAGCAGTTCAAGATGACATAATGATCCCAAGCTAAGTCACGGTGACAGGTCTCTTGCCTGGTTTATTTAAGTATAATTATTGTTCCTAGACCAAGTGGTAGGAACTGATAGAAGGAAGTTCCATACTGCAACACAGAGATTAGATATCCATAGAAATCAAGAATCTCTAAATTCATATTCCTCAAATTGAAGAGTTAGCCTCCCCCAAATAATATGATTTTTGTTAATTTTATAGATATATTCTTTGCAAGGCGTCTATACAGGGCCCTGGTATCCTATTTTTTTTTTTAATTTTTTATCTTTTTTGGCCTTCTTTTTTGGTCTTTTGTATGTTGTTAAACTGTGATAATCAGTGGATGTCACAGTATTTAAAAGTGAAAGTCACTTCCTCCCCAATTGTGATTTCATATGTCTATTGAAAACAACTTCTGCTTTCTGAAATAGTTATGGTATTCAATGAAGTTTATTTCTGCTTTCTTTTCTCTTTTAATGAGAATAGGTAAACAATTTACACATGAAAGTTACAAATACAGCCAAAGCCATACTTGAACTTGGGACCATTTGTCCTGGAACGTTCACAAGCAAGAGCTCATCAATACACCCAAACCCATACTTGAACTTGGAAGAGAGTCCGCATTACTTTGCCCAATATCGGCCCATGGCCGGTCTCCATTTGTCCCAGGCCGTAGTATTTGTAGGAAGTTTAAAATAGTACTACGACTTGTCAACTTTCCCCGTAGGCCTAGTCCCTACAAGAGGAGAAGTTGCGTTGAACTAACTCTTTTCTCCTCGACTGGTTGTTGTTCTACGAAATTAATTAGCTAGAGTTTTACACGACTTGTCATCAAATTTCTCCTAGTACTACGACTTGTCATCAAATTCTTTAGTTTTACACAGAGGAAATGAAGAACCATAAATCCATGAAGCAGCAGTTGTTCTTCAAGCTTGTTTTACAGGGTTGTGAGTTTTTGTAAGGGCAGTGCTTCACTTTTTGTAAAGGGCACTGGATCTGGCTGTCCGCTTTGTTTTTCTTGGCTTAGGTGCAAGCTTTTATTGTTCTCCTTATCTTGATTAGGATTAGAGGATTCATGTCTATCGCCGTCAATGATTTTGGCGCGATGCTTTTGTAAGATCTTTACTTTCACATGCCCGGGCCATGATAATGTGCCATGAAAAGTCTATTGCAAATAGCAAGAGACTTGGAATGGCATATGAGCCATTGAGGCAAATAAAATCACCTTTCCAAATATAAAAGTCAGTGAAGGGTTAGAACAATGACAAGGCGTTGGAGGAAGGCCGGGGGTGCTGTTGGTGGTTACTTTTCCAACTTGTTTCATTTCTTTCGTTTTGCTTACAAATTTTATCTCTTTACTTCATGTTGAAAACCAAGTCTACAGTTCTCATGAAGTTACAATCTTATTTCGCCTTTGCTATCAAGCTACTTTGACTTCCTCTTGGAACTCTGTTTTCTTTCCCTTTTGCTCCCAAAAAGCATTTCTAGCTCCCCCACCCCCACCAGTGCGCCACCTTCAATTTGCATGTCGGGACAGTGCATCCAATAAAAACCTCACATTATATCCCTTTCGGTTACAATATCATTCACAATTCTTAAAAGTTGTATCATTTTCATTTGCCCACTTTCTCTCTACATTCTTTTCGTTCCTAATGGCCTCAAGAAACCACCATCCTATGTTGAAAGCTACATAGCACTGCAGGAAGAGGAAGTGAATTAATTTCTTAAATAATTTTAATACAGTTTAGTAAAGAGTCAATTAAAACCTAACAATCTCAGTTATGAGGTCATAAATTTAGTAATTAAGTTATATTTAAATTCTAATTAAACATATGAATTTTCAAAAAAGAATTAAAACAACAAGAAGTTGCTTATAATGATTTTGTTTCCCATATTTCACTTTCATCTTTAGCTCCAATGCTTTTAAGTTTTAACCACACAATCATAGTGGGATTGCAGCTTTATATATACTTGTAGGGATGAAGCCCCAGAAATGGGTTGGAGTAGTAGTGTAAATTGGCAGCCTTTTGTCGGCAAATATTAAGAGAGGAGTTGGGTCGATTTGCACTAAGCCGGAAATGGAGAAAAGGGCAAAGTCTGATCAGGTGGTTGTCATCCTGGACCAAGGAAACCCTGTAAGTCCATCAATGGAAACCGAGCTCAAGGACGGCCAAACGGCTGCAGAAACAAAGCCCCAAATTCCCAAGAGAGCAAAAACTCTACGCCGCCTCAGCGTCTCCAAACCCAAAGCTCGGTTTCTTGAGTATAACTATCCCCAGAAAAGGTTCCCTGAGTCCAACGATCTTGAGCCGCTGCTTGACGACATCCACCAATCTTCAACAGATGAGGATGAGGATGACGATAACGATGACAATGAAGAGGAGTGGAACGATGAGTTTGACGAAGATGGTGGAGAAAAGGGGCAAAAAATACACCAAAAGAGGAGGAAGAAAAAGTTGAACTGGAGACTCTTGACTGAATGGGTTCTGTTTTTCGTTATAACGACGTGCTTGATCTGTTCTCTCACGATAGAATCTCTCAAGACAAAGCGTTCGTGGGGGCTTGAGATCTGGAAATGGTGCCTTATGGTGTTGGTGACCTTCTGCGGCCGCCTAGTTTCCGGATGGTTGATTGCTGTCGCTGTCTTTTTCATTGAACGAAACTTCATGCTTAGAGAGAAAGTGCTCTACTTCGTCTATGGACTAAGGAAGAGCATCCAAAACTGCATCTGGTTAGGCCTAGTCCTTCTTTCATACACCTTCATGTTCGACACCAAAGTTCACAGCAAGGAAAACAAGGTGCTCAGAAAGGTGTTTCAAGCGTTAGTAGCTGTGTTGCTCGGTGCAATCATATGGCTTATCAAGATCGTGTTGGTCAAAATGCTGGCCTCATCTTTCCATGTGACAACGTACTTTGATCGAATGAAGGAAAGTGTCTTCCACCACTACATCTTGGATACGCTCTCAGGTCCGCCCATGGACGAGCAAATCATAATGCATGAACAGCATCATAGCCTAAGCGAATCCAAGTCATTGCCATCAAACTGGAAGCAGAAAAAGTGGAAAGAAGCGAGAAATACCTACAAGTCGAAGAAGTTCGGGTCGAGGAAAATTGACATGGAAATGCTAAGGGAGCTCAGCATGGAGAGGCCAGGCTCTGCGTGGAGCGTGAAGAGGCTGGCAAGCTACGTGATGTCTTCAGGGTTATCGACTATTTCGAAGACAGTAGACGATTTTGGAAAGGCGGAGTCGGAGATTACTAGTGAGTGGGAGGCTAGAAACACCGCGCAAAGGATCTTCAAGAATGTGGCTAAGCAGGGAGCCAAGTAAACACATCTCTTCCCCTATATCTGATCCCTTTCTTGCATGCATGAATACATGTTTAGTTCTTTAATTGCATGAACAATCTCATTCTTGAATTCAACCTTTCAAGTCTAAAAATGGACCATAATTAGCAAATTACATTAATATTATCAACAAAGGAAAGCATGAGAACTGAGGTGTAGGAGGAGAAATCTACATTTTCTTAAAGCTTGACCTAATCTTATATATGCGCGAGTCCATTTTCCTTTCATGCTTACAACAAGTCTACAATAACTTTATTTATATAAAATACTAACATTTTGTGTTTTTAAATAATATCTTATAGAAATCTTATAAAATATTTAATAATTTTATCATCCAAATCCTACATAAATATAATTATAAAGTTACTTAATCTTATTTAATCAAGTCAAATAATATAAAATATTCAATTAAATTTATCCATGAACATCCCTAAGGAAAAACTAATCATGTATTAAACTATACTTTTACCTTTACCCTTACGTCTAATGAACTCTCTCCCTTATATTTTTGCACGTGGTCTTTGTTTCTCTGCTATTGCACGAGTGGCCCCAAAACTGAAAGCAGCCGTTAAGGAAGAACATGCCAGAAATAGCAAAGTTTATCAAGTCGGTTTGAATGTATATCCTCGTTTTCGTACTGAACAGACCAGGGCTGATCACGGCCAATAGAATAACGACAAAGACAACTCATGCTCATTGTAGAGTGAGTGCTTCTTTTGTTGTGGTCCTAATACATACCACAAGTAATATTTGATGGTCGGTATGGCGCCATAGCCAGCGCATGCCTTTCTCCTTCAAAATGGTTGATGAGTGTGTGCACCTTTTGATAATGAAATCGAGTCAACGAACTTCCTTTAATTTCCTTTCTGCACCACTCTTGGTGAGTTTAAGTGGCCCTTACTCCTTGGGCACCAACAAGTGATCTTAGTCCACATTCTGCAGCTGAATTCTTTAGTTGCTAGCTATATGTGGTTTCAGCACTTCCGTACGTACATGTATATACTCTTATCATATGCGCATGTATATAATTTAACCTTTATGTCTCACCAAGGTGAATGCCAATCACGGTTTTTCTAATTAAAGGTATATTGAAGAGGAAGATCTAATGAGATTCCTGAAGGGGGTTGAAGTTTACACCATATTCCCACTATTTGAAGGAGCTCTCGAGACCGGAAGAATTTCAAAATCTTCCTTTAGAAATTGGGTGGTCAGTCCTGCTTGCCTAATTACTCGTTTTATCGATCATGGTGCTTTTGTTCTTTGACAATATATACTTAATGAAAATGTATATATATACATTGCCATTAACATCCAGGTTCGAGCTTATTTTGAACGAAAATTTCTAGCACATTCGCTGAATGATACCAAAACAGCTGTGCAACAACTGCATAAGCTAGCAAGTGCGGTGGTCGTCGTGATCATAGTCGTGGTATCCCTCTTGGTAATGGAGGTAGCAACATATAGGATAGTGTTTCTTGTCTTAACACAGCTAGTTGTTGCCGGGGTCATGTTCCAGAACACTTGTAAGATGGTGTTCGAATCCATTGTCTTCATCTTCATCATGCATCCTTTCGACATTGGCGATCGCTGCGTCGTCGACGGTGTTCAGGTACATGCATGTTTCTTCCATGTCACATCACCTGTTTATGCGTATGGAAATTTATTATCCGAATAGAAGACTTGATTGCTTTCATGGATAGATGATTGTGGAGGAAATGAATATATTGACTACCGTATTCCTTCGGTATGATATGGAGAAGATTTATTATCCGAATTGGGTCCTGCTCTCGAAGCCAATCAGCAACTTCTACCGAAGTCCAGAAATGGGTGATACGGTTGATTTCCAGATTGACATTTCCACGTCCCTGGAGACTATCATGGCACTGAAGAAGGCAATCCAAGCGTATGTTACATGCAACTTTGACATTGTCGATTAGGGTTAAAACTTAAAAACTCAGTTATAATTTACAAACTTTGAGCTTGGTGCAGATACATCGAGAGCAAGCCCAAGTATTGGAACCCGAAGCACGCAGTGATAGTGAAACAGATAGAGAATCTTAACAAGCTGAAGATGAGCTTATGCGTCCAACACACGATCAATCATCAGAATTATGGAGAGCGCAGCAATCGGATCACAGAGCTCATTCTCGAGCTGAAGAAAATCTTCGAAAACCTTGAGATCAAGTACCATCTTCTTCCGCAAGAGGTCCGTCTTAGCCAAGTCAATCTGGACAACTGGAGGATGATGCAGTGATCCACCTGCTCGTCGTTTATATCTTTGTTGAAGCCATGATGGACCCAATTCTATTTCCTTCATTTTTAAAACTCATCTATCTGTACTCATGCATTGTATTTTGAATAACTTAGAATTTGAATAAATACGTTAATTTTAAATTTGAGAATATTTTCATAATTTTATTGAGTAAAATCAACACCTTAATTCCTGCAGAAACAAAAATTATCTATAAGATATTAACTGAAAAAAAAATATTCAGAGGAAACTATTGAGAGAAAAAAAACAAAACTAAATGCCATGTGAGAAAATTTTTCTTTACTCAGCATTATATTTATACCTTCATTTGACATTTCTTTACTAGAAAAATTTAATCAAATACATTTCATAATGTTTAAAAGCTTTAAGAGCTTTACGATAACCTTAAATGACAAATTGGAATGTATGTGCTACTTCTCCTTTTCTCTATCATTTTCTTTTAAATATCTTAAAATATAGTGTTTTTTTAAACACACATTCTTGCTTTTTAATATTAATTATAAATTTATCTTTAACATTTATATTATAAATTTTTTAAAAAAATTAATATATAATATATCACACTTTAAAGTTTTTATTTTAATATCTATAAAAAATCAACAAAAAGAACAGAAACTGAAAAAAAATTAAAGTTTATTGAATTTATTTTAAGTTTTTTGATATTTTAATTTGCACCGAAAGTTTTTAAAAAAATTGAACTTCTTAGAACTATGGAATAATATTTTTTAACCAATAAATAGACAATAATCAAATACTAATAAATATGCACAAATTATCATACCAAACAAAAATTTCCACAAATTAAAACATAAATAATATTGACTTTTTTTTTTGGATTGGGCCTATTAATCATAATAGGAAATTGGGCCGAAAAGTGCAAGGGTGAATTTGTAAATGTAGAGGAAGACGGGGACCAAATATTTGCTTGGTGTCAAAGATACTCAATCCACAAAAGGCAGGTGGGAGCCGACCTTCCTTATGTGGTACACCTAGGATCCTTGGTTGGACACGTGGCGCCAGCTGATAACCAAATCTGAACGCCTCAGCAACACTCACCGAATATTCGTTTTTTATTTCTCCAGATATTTAATAATTTTCTGTCTGCTTCAAATAAGAGCTGACGAAGGACAAAGTTAAGACATGTTGCCACCCACCAAACTTAAACTACAACTCTTTTCCATCTTTTTATGTGGAGCTGCTCTTTTTTTTTTCTTTTTCTTATTTAAAGATTATGTATTTTTTTCCATTATTCTACTGTGAATAAAATATGTTTTTAGAAAAAATTATACAGTTAATTTTATCCTGTAAAATTATCTAAATATTTTCAATGCAAAAATTAATGATATAATATTTTTTAAAAATTAAATTTTTTAAAAATTTTAAATAAATTATTATTTTTTAATTATATTTAATTAAATCTTTATATTTTTATTTTAAAGTAAATAAAAAATTTTATAATTAATGATTGATTAACTATTATTAATTAAAATATGACTTATTATTTTATATCAAAAATTATGTTAAAATGTCATAATTGATGTTAACTTGATATATTGATATCACCTAATAACTTTACCTTCCACGTAAGCACATCATGTACATAAAATGATAAGTAATATTAATTAATAATAATTAATCATTTATTAATTATAAATATCTATTTACTCTAAAATAAAAATATAAAAAATTGATTAAGCATAATAAAAAAAGTACTTATCAAATTCTATTAAATAATTTAGAGTATTTTCCAAGTATTATGTAAAAAATAATCTATTGTTTATATTTTAAGGTGTTTTGACAATTTCACTAGATAAAATTGACCACTTAATTTATTCTAAGAGCAAAACTTATTTACAAAGGTTAATTGAAAAGAAAAACTATTTATGTAAAAACAGATAAAATTACAAGGAGTGTAAATCAAATTTACTTTACTTATAATTATATCTTGTATACAAGGTATACAAATTATTACCATAGGTTGGTCACCTATTCACTGTCAATTATTTTATTATACAAGTTAAAAAAGTATACTTAAAAAGTCTAGAAGATTTAATAGTTTATAATTTTACTAAATTTATTAATTAATCAACTAAATCAACAACTAACAAAGGAAGAAAAGCAACCAAAATTGTGGAAGTAATTTTGATAGGAGAGACTTTATCCAAAAAAGGAAAATGATAAGGGAAGAAAAGGATAAGGCGTGAGACACGTGGGAGTCGATTGTCCCGATCAAGAATCAAACGGAGAGGTGAGGAAAGATGACGACAACTTGAGCGAGCGTAGCGTAGTAGAGTAGGGCGTAGCGTAGAAAAGTATCGGACGGAACACACGGGGGTTGGGGGAGAGCGAATTAGGGGATCGGGGGGGACTATAAATAGGAGGGATTGACTCGGGTAAACAAAATAAAATACCCCCAAAATTATTAAGGCGTTTCCTTGGTTCACACGAGAGAAACTTCCGTCACAACAACGACAATAAGAAGATTAGATATTTCGCTTCGTATTCGAAAACACGAGGAAAGAGCGTTTTTATTTTTTATTTTTTGCTCCGTAGGAAGAGAGGAGAAATAGCGAAGCTCTGGATTCCACCTCTTCCCGTCCTTGGCGACGGTGCTTATGCCGGTTAGTTTTCAGGTCTCTCTCTCTCTCTGTCGATCTCTTTTGACCTAGATCTGATCCGATCTGATATCTTCTTTCTCTTTTCCTTGTTTTCTTTCGTGTTTAGGGTTAGGGATTTTCGTGATTGGATCTTTTTTTCTTTTTGTTTTGTTGCCTGTCTCATAATTAGGGATTCGTTTGGCCGCGTAATTGTTTAGGTTGATTTAATCGATTAAGGTTTACTTGTTTGATTTATGAGAAAATTGCCTAGGGTTTTATTGATCTTTTTTCCTGAATTGATTCGTAGCTCTTTTCTTTTCCTGTGATGTTTGTCTTACTGTTCCTGCTTGTGTGGTTTATAATCCGGAAATAGGAATTGTTGTTATCTAGGATTGATTCTTTGTGATTTGATGAGTCGCTGCCAGTTGTGAATTGGTAATTGCATATTGCTTGAATTCGCTAGCCTCAGCTCTTTTCTTGAGATTTTGCTTTCTAAGATGAATATTATTCCACTTTTTGTACATTGTTGTATGCCATATGCTTGAATTAGTGCGTATCTTTTTCTGAGTTATGCTGTACTGTCAACGCAAGAGCCATAAGTTTGGTTTAAGGATTGTTCATTAATTTTTTAATGATCTTATACTGCTTTTTATTTTCTGGTAGCAGTTTTCTGTGTATTTGGGTTATTTGCTCATTGTAAGAGCAAACTTTACTTAAGTGTCAATTGATATTGTCTTAATGTTAGATTGCACCGGGCTTGGATTTAAAGGGATTTAGTTTCCTTCTGAAGACATGGAACAAGTGTGCTTCTGGTCAAATTGCTACCTTTTCCGGGTGTTCTCATTCCAAGAAGTACTTGACTGGCGGTTTCTCGTCCATGGAGATTTTCTTTTGGTTTCTTTTGTCAATTGCACTTAGTGCCCAGTCTCTTTTTAATACTCAACAGAGGAGGCGTAATGCATGTTATTTCTGACATAGGTGTTGGATCTTTAGCGCACTTCTACAAGTAAGCAATATTTCCATCTCTTTCTGATTAAGATAAGATAGGTACATTCTAAGTATTTTTAATGGCAGTGCATTGCTGATACAACATCCGGTCACAAATTTTGAGAAAACGCCTTCCAGGTACAAAATGTATTCTGCATGGTTATCTTTTTCATTTATCTTTTACCATATCTGTGAACAATTTTTTTGTTTTCTAACCTCTTCATTATTTTCATTTCACTCTTCTATTATCACAGGGCTGAACTCTTGCAGTAGACAGTTGAAGGTTGCTTACTAAGCATTAGCAGACTGTAGCTCTTAGTTAATGTTTCGTTATTGCTCCTGATGGGTACTGGTTAATGTTGAGATATTGGTTTCCTGAGCATTCTGCAACAGTTTCTATTTAGCATAGATGAGTTAACTGCAATTAAGCTTTTGAACCGAGTGAGTGTATCTTGAGCTTGGGGTCCTTCCTGTTGGCTGAAGCAATCATTCTGGTCGGTTCGTATCAGTATGTTTTGTGGAGCACATCTGTACCTTCTGTGGATGCCTTGTTTTAGTCTTCAAGCTGTGGGTTTAGTACCAAATAAGGCTGTGAAGCCCATCCATTGTAAAAGTTCTGGTTTTGTGCCCTTGCATGTTGCCAAAGGAAATTAATGGTGGATTCAGCTGACCAGCAAGGCAGTTTGTTTATGTTTTATAGTTTTTAATCCTAGCAATCTTCTGCTGAAGATAAATGTCACATGTCTATCGTTGGTTCTTATAGATCTCTTGAATAAAGGAAGGGCTTCTTTTGTTCCGCAAGAAAATGGAGAGGTAAGTTGTTTAACATGTGATGTGCTAGACAATATTTGTTTCTGGCATGGTGATTTATGCTTATCAAAATTTTGGATGATGTTAGGTACAAGCTAATTAAGGAAGTTGGTGATGGAACATTTGGTAGTGTGTGGCGAGCTATTAATAAGCTGTCTGGTGAAGTTGTGAGTATGCCTGGGATTCTATTTATTTTGAATTATAAGAACATTCTTCTCTTAAGATGTTGATTATGATATATCCTTTTCAAAATAATGGTATCTGTTCTGAAGGTTGCAATAAAGAAAATGAAGAAGAAATATTACTCATGGGAAGAGTGTGTGAACCTGAGAGAAGTTAAGGTAATATGAGTCGCTTTGTTCTGTTTTATGCTCCTAGTTGTTTATGTCATGTGCATAATAGTTTTTTTTTTTAAACAGTCACTGCGGAGAATGAATCATCCCAATATTGTGAAGCTTAGGGAAGTCATCAGGGAAAATGATATTCTTTACTTTGTGTTTGAATACATGGTAAGTGATTGGATTGTATTTTTGTTCTACTTATATATTGCTGTTTGATCAATGGAGGTTTAATTATTTTTTTGGAAACATAAAATTGTTCCAGGAGTGCAACCTTTACCAACTTATGAAAGATAGGGAAAAGCTTTTTTCAGAAGTTGAAATCAGAAATTGGTGCTTCCAAGTCTTCCAAGGTCTTGCATACATGCACCAGCGTGGATATTTTCATCGTGACCTAAAGCCAGGTATTGTGTTCGGTTATTGTCTATAAAATTCATGGTCATTTTTGTTACATCTATTCAAAGAAAATTCATGTTTTTGTTTACATCTATTCAAAGAAATATTCTGTAACTAACTGCCCTTTTCTTTCCAGAAAATTTGTTGGTTACTAAAGATATAATCAAAATTGCTGATTTTGGTCTTGCACGTGAAATCGGTTCACACCCACCGTACACGGAGTATGTCTCAACACGCTGGTAGGTTTGATACTTTGAGAATTCAATGGTTTTACTTCTTCCGTTCTTTGTTACAATTATCTAAGCCTTGAATTCATTGTATTTCAGGTATCGTGCCCCTGAAGTACTTCTTCAATCATTCTTATATACTTCAAAAGTTGGTAAGGTTTCTATGTAATCAATATTTCTACCTTTTAAGGATAGGAGTGACAGCCATTTCAATATTATATACACAGAACTGATAATTATGCCTTTTTTCTCCTTGATTTCAGATATGTGGGCAATGGGTGCAATCATGGCTGAGTTATTCACCTTACGGCCTCTTTTTCCTGGTACCAGGTATGTTGTTTTCTTTTCTTATTATTATTATTATTATTATTATTATTATTATGTGTCGCAAACTTTCTTCTAGGGATTGCTTAACTGAGATAGGCATTAGAATCTAATTATCTTTCACAATTTGTTAGGAAACAATGGGTAATTGCCTAGTTATTGAGAGAATGGATGGTAACCCTTTATTACTATTATGCATGCAGCGAAGCAGATGAAATCTACAAAATTTGTAGTGTAGTAGGTACTCCAACTAAGGATTCGTGGCTTGATGGGCTTAATCTTGCAAGGGCTATAAACTACCAATTCCCACAGGTCTCTATCTCTCTCTTGATTGCATCACTAGCAGTGTAGCTGGACTTCAAAGTTATATTTAGCAATGTGCAGTTGCTGTGAATTATCTTATTAAGTGTATGGAATCTAACATTTGTTTAATGTGTTTAACAATGCTTTCTGTTATTGAGAACTGCAGTTTGCTGGTGCGCATCTGTCTATGTTGATACCATCAGCAAGTGATGATGCAATCAACCTTATTACAGTTAAGTGCATGTCTACTGACTCTTGTTGCGTTTTATTTTCTTTCAATGTACTGCAGAAGTGCTTTCTGCTTTGTAATTCTGACCATTAAATTTATTATATCGATTTTTCAAAGATAAATTGACATTTGCTTTGCTGCTTTTTATAGTCTCTCTGTTCATGGGATCCTTGCAAGAGGCCAACTGCTGCAGAGGCGCTTCAGCATCCTTTCTTTCAGGTCATGTTTTTCATAGATTTTAGTGTATTTAAGAATGTTTTGGGTTGCTCTTTTATGAGGTCAAAATGGCATTTATGTTGTAGCAAGTGCTCTGCTCACAAAATTTTCTTAAAATGTGCAGAGTTGTTTTTATGTTCCACCATCTCTTCGTCCCAGATCAGCTATTTCTAGAACTCCGCCATCTGGTTTTGTTCTATAACTTCCAATTTTGTCTTTTTTTCTTTTGGGTAGGGGGTATGTGATTTGGTTTAGTTTGTGGCTAATTTCTAATTTGCATACTTGTAGTTGGGGTTAGAGGAACATTGGAACAGCAATCAGCTAGGAGGTATTCTGGCGTCCTACCCAATGCAAAGCTCACTGGCAATCTTAATTCTGTGAAGACAAATGCATCTTTTGGCACAGGTGATGCATTGTAGAATATGTAGTAATGTTGAAATAGTTTAATAATGATATCAGAATTTGGATGTAAAGCCCATGATCTCTCTGCTCTGGATGGATTTTCTTGCACACTATGAATTATGATAAAGTGTTCTGGCTAAGTTTTTGATCAAATCACGACCCAAGTACAACCACATTTTTATTAAGTTTGAATCTTCTGCTTAGTGACATTATCATCCATTAAGTTGGTAGGAATACAATTTTATGGACCTGTATAAAATTTTATCCTTGCCTCATTTTATTTTCAAAGTTGTAAATCCAACTGCTATTTATTTCCTTGAAAAAAATCTTTTATGGTGGATTCTCTAATTATGGTAAATTCCTGCAGGTGTGCAACGCAAGCTGGAGATGGTTAATCAGGTAATTGCCTTTTAATGTGTCTTAATTGTTCTCCTTCTGTAATACTAATATTTTCTTTACATTGGTTCTAAATGTGGTCTTTTTCTTTCCCCTCCCTGTAGGATCCGACTAAGAATGATAAATCCTTGAAGAACTCTGCCAAACAACCTAAGTATCGCCCACCAGGAAGAAAGAGTCCAAGTAAGTTTTCTTTGCATGGCTATATATTTTCAGTCCATTGGAAAAGAAGGAAAATGAAACCCCTATATATAATGGTTAAAATTGATCAACTTTGTGCTATGAATAGAATCTTTTATATTTCGTCTGATTGTTGGTTGTTGAAGATGGATATTGACTTAGTCTTGTTTGCTAGTATAATATATGTGATTGATTCGTAACTATATATATGGTCCAGCAGTATCATTCAACAGGGATAGAACTGCCCGTGGAGCTTCAGATGTAGCGGAGAAGTTGGCAAATGTGACTATTGGAAATCGCAGGCAGCCTGTTGGGCAGTTGAGGCCGCCACCAATGAAAGCTGGAGTGCAGTGGACTGCAGAATCTAATGACATGTTTCTTAGACCAACCCAACAGATACAGTCTGGCAGAACTTTTTCCAGGAAAGTAGCGGGATGAGATAAGATGGCCCAGCCCTAGCGTTATGGTTACTTTTATAATAAATAATGGATTTCATTGTATATGGAATCAAGGAGTCCCAAGTATCAAACTTTGAGTGCTTTGGTTTGAGTGTCTTTCCTAGCAAATAACAACATATGCACTTGGTTCTTGTTACGTTTTAAGAGACTCGTTTGTTTCTGTTCACCGTTGCTTGGAAATAAAGTATTGAGTTTGTAAATGATTTGTCTGTGGATATTTTATTGTTTAATTTTCTTTCAATATCTCGAGTTTTGACATGATTTCGAGTTGAATGATTGGTGGATGTTGAAGGATTTGAGATGGAAATTTGCCTTGGTGGATGACAACGAGTTCAGAGGAAAAAAGAATGGATGTCTAAATCTTCTATCATAGTCATTGTACTTGAATTATCCTTTTCAATGTGTTCGTATAATTGGTAGGTTACTAATGATTAAAGCATTAGTCCATTGAAGCCTGACGGTGGTCGGGGCAGTTGATGGAATTTCGACGCTAAAGAGAGAATTATCTTTCATGGAATTTCAATTAGACCATCGACCATGATGCTTGGTTAGAGAGTTAGGTATCGAGTAATGGATTTTAAACAATAAGGTTAAAACTGCATCGCACCCAAACATAAGGTAACCGCAAATGATTCAATTTCATTTCTTCAACTATCATATCAAGTTTGTATTACAAAAAAAGAAAAGGCAAAACAACCGCAGATAACGTAATTCGCGGGCCCAATAAAAACTCCAATAGTATCTTAGGATGGTAAGAGCCCCTGAAAATTGGCAGACCAAAAACACAAGGGGCTCTGCTTGGGACTCCCTGCTGGGAAACAAAACCTCCATTGGATTGTCACCAGGAATGGAATGGCACTATAATTAGTTTGTTTTATTGAAAACGACGTTTGTTAGCTCACTGGTTCATCATCACTATGAGGTGACAAAGCCCATTTTACCTGTAACATGTGAGAAACAAAATTGAAGTGGGTCTTTTCCATTCCTTTGGACCATCCGACCGCAGTGTACCCTTGGTACATTTATATCCACCGCCTGCCACCATTACCATATCTTTTGTGTAAAATTGTTATAATTTAAAGGTATTGTGTTTGTATTCTTTCTCTGTTCTCTTCCCACCACTGCTTTGCATTTACTTCTCCAAATCTCTCGCGGCTGGAAAAAAAATCACAACGCAAAGTATCAGAGCTATTATCTAGATGCTTGGGACAAGGTCTTTCCCCCGAAAGAACCTCCTGCCTGACTCTGTTTCAAAGTGATCTTAATCTATGTTGGGCAGAGAGTACCATTGATGAAAATTGAGTGTGAATTTCATTACCTGAATCTGACACGCCGGAGCTCCCTGGTGCCATCAGCCAACTGCCTGATGGTAATGTATACCCCGGGCTCATCTTGTTCAACCCATTCCGCCTCCATTTCACTGGCATTGCTGACAGAAACAGAAGGCTCATCCCTAGATGAGGTTGTCGTCCGTGAAGCATCAAAAGATGCCTCACCTCTCGGACCACCTGCACCGTAAGCACTTGGCCCAGCACTGTAATGTTGGGTCCCACCTTGGTCCATATTCTCTGCTGATGGGAAATAGCCTTTACTTCCAGAGGGTTTATAGTTGTATCTTGGTGTCCAATGAGGCATGGGACTTTCCATTGCTGATCCCATCCTTGAGTAAGAAGAATCTCTCTGCATCTGAAGTGTATAAGTTATGTTGTTAGTAATTTGAACTTGGAATAAACTTGAAGGTCCATTAGGTCAGGACGCAAAGAGAAAAGAGTATGCTTTCATGCCATTTTTAACTGCTAAGAAGTTACTTTTCTTATGATGAAGTCTTATGTCCATCACATCAGGAAGACAGAATGAGGATAATGGAAATTTGACAAACAGTATGTTCTTGCCGACTAATTCAAGGACTCACAAAGGCAAAGCAAGCTCATCAAACAACAAAATGTCTGAAAAGTGAGGTACTAGGTGGTTTACCTCATCCTCAGACCTTGGGGGAGTATGTAATGCCTGACGATTAAATCTCTGCACGTTGTAGAGCTCCATGATCCTATCATAATTCTCACCCCACCATCGCTGTGCTTGCCACTTGTTGAACATCTCCCGGCTTCAAAATTAACGCCTAAGTAACGTCAGTTTCCGTATATATTCGCTGAATTAAGTTCCAGAACCAAGATATCTCAACATAATCAGGGCAATTTAGGTTTGCACCAAAGTCCATTTTCTTTCATGTCTGAGGAACAAAGCTGAATGGACTTTTCGTAGGTCCAACCAATTGCATGACATGTTGAATCAAAGAATGGTAGAAAGGACTAATCAATGGACAATGAGAGATATCTAGTCTAGCTGGAGAAAAGATATCAATCAAGATAATCATCCCCAGACTATTAGAATAGTGTGTCCCATGTACTATATGTAATGAAGTAGACATATCATGGCAGGCATGTGAAGGCTAAGAGTGACATGTCTATTTGGAGTCTCCAATATGGAAGGATGTCAGATATTAAAATTCAAGATTATACGCAGATTTTGACAGAGATGAAAGTACATTCTGGTTACGGATAGTTGACGGCATACCTGAAGCGAATTCGTTTGAGATCATTTCCTCCGTTAGGCAGAGACACGAAAGTGATATGAACCCCAGGTTCCACTTGTGCCATCCATTCCTTGGGCTCATCCTCATCTTCTAGCACCAGATCCTGGGAAAACATAGAGTCCATTCCACCAGGGGTTCTGTCACCACTGAATACCCCGGTAAATCTTGAGTCTGATCTTCCTGGATGATGACTGGCACTCGTGAAGTCCCATGCAGGTGTTGAGCTAGAGCTTCCGCCCATGTACGGGTATGGAACCCCTTCTGAAGCAGCATCAAAATCTGGATACGGTCGATGTCCTTTCTTGTAGTTGCTGGAGCCTGTGCATGGCTTGCATTGCTTATAAGCGCCAGAAAATTTCAATGCCATATCCTTGATCTGTACAATATCAGAGTTTAAGTTATTAACAAGCACAAAAAAAAAGAAGCTATAACAGTGTTCATTGAAACACTTGACTTCCACAAGTTCAAGGCAATGGCATAGACTTAATGTTGGAAAATATAGAGAATTCAAGAAAGAAAGACATGCCATTAAGGTTGACAAGAATAAAAATTCATTCCCAAAGTTCTAGTCGCTCATAATGTGAGAGATTCAGCGAAAAATTGCACTGACGATCGAACTCCGTCTGTAGCCTAACAGTTAAGCCATATTTCTTCTACCATTAAGAGATGTTCAATGTTCTAACAAACATCATATGCTTAGAATAGAACAATTCTGTATATTGTCTCCACATCGTTTCTAGTTGAAGTCCATATTTCTACTGGTTTCTCCAACTGACTACATCATGTACCCAAGTATTTTGTTCAATATCCCAGAACAAGATATGATTTGCGTTTGAAAGCTTAGTGGTCTACAGGTTGTTCTCAATTATCACTTTCTTAAATGGCACATTTTTTCTGGCCAAGTTTCAATTAGCACTTTCTTAAATGGTACATCTTTTCCTGGCCAAGTTTCGATTATCATTTTCAAAGAAGAAAGCTTATGGTGCATAACAGACTTGCATAAGCTCCAGAATTATGTCATAAAGAAAAAACCAGAAAATGGAACTGGTCTATTTCAGTCATAGCCATCACTCCCAAAGCTAACCCGCACAGTAGACCCTGACAGAATATAGAAAAGCAGAAACTACACCACAAAAGCGGATCCGCGAACTGTGAATATCATTGGGAAACTACTACAGTCAACGCTGTTGGTCTTAAAACAGAGTCAGAAATGATAAAATGTACTTTCCTGCTACCCACCTGAGAGCTGTTCTGGCTGTCAATTAATCTGATTTCACCGCCCATTAGCACGCAATAGATTTCCTTTTCTTTTTTTCCACATTCCTACTTTTTCAAACAAGGTGGATCGACAAGAATTCAATGGTGGGTCAGGCCCAGGACACTTGGGTGTCTTTTCTTAATATACAAGTTGTCTTTTCTAAAGATATCCGCTTCCCTGCTTATTGCACGAATATTTGTTCTCGTCTCTCAAATTTTGTCCTGGAAATACCATATGCTACCACTATTCTATTCTTTAGGACATTTGACCAGCTTAACTTTATGTTCAAACCCATCCTACTTCAGAAAAATAGACTTAAACAACATCCAAAAATAATCATGAGAAGAATCAAGAGTTCTGCTAGTGGAAGTAGTGAAGATTTTGGCCAGGATCCCTGTAAGTGATTCTATCCGAATTTCGCACTAAACCTTGAGAATATCTAGGAAAGCTGTTGTCTGCACATGCCTAAGACTCCTAGGTCATAGAGGGGGTCATAAGAAGAAGATTTAAGATTTTGCAGGCGCCTAGTAACGGGGATTTGCCTCTTGCGGGATTCGTTGTTGGTCTGAATCACCCAAACACCAGCAGAAAACAGCAGCCTAGAGCGGCCTAGGCTCAAATCCCCAGCCCGTCTACAGTGTAATAGAATGACAACTGTACCAAGAGCCACAGGATTATCACTCAAAAAAAGGTTACCAACTTACTCAACATAGTGAAACAAACCCTCTTGGCCCGTTGGATTCTTCCAGGATGAAGCATCGCATTGCTCATGGTTTCATGGCATCCTAAGTCTTAACCATTAATGGTGCTAGCTTTTGAGTAAAGAGATTTCAAAACTTGTACCAAATGCAGCATATTTATCGTTCCTATGGAGTAGTATTGTTTTGAGGATCACATGAATCCTGCTCATTGCTGGTTGATTCACTGACGTTTCTTTTCTTTTCTGCACCCGCCGCCCAGGAAAGCAGAAGGTGAAATGCTTTGAGCTGGGAATATTTTGGGTTTCTTTTTCTTCTCGTACAATCCTCAAAAAAGAAAGAATCCAAAACAAATCTATGTGGAGTCTATGAGAATGTGAGGGGTAACACTGTTAAAAAACAAAATAGACTGCCCCCTTGGCCTTGAGTGTAGGCTTTCATTGAAAACCCACCCGCAGAAAAAAAATCTGAAGATGGAGCTGCTGCACAAGCAACACCCTACACCGCATCACATGCAAACCCAATCCTGGGAGTCCCCCGACAGCTCTACAACTATTAGAATAAGATCAAAATATATAACAGTACATGAATAAACGTGAAAGAAAGATGCCAAAAGGGAGGTAAGGTCCCAAGGAGATCGGAGGGCTAATTGGGGTTATGATTTTGTTCGTTTTCACAAACAAGGGCCAAAATAGAAAAAGAAACCAAAAAAGCAAAGCCAAAGATTGAACGAATGAAGCTCAAGGGTGAACAGAGAGAGAGAGACAAGGTAAGGATTAAGGAAGAGGTAGAAGTAGAACCTGCGCCGTCAGGCTTTTGACGGCTTCTTTTGTACTAGGCGTGCCACTTCCACGCGCTCCTTCTACTTCTTCCCCTCCATCCGCCATTTGCTTGGTGCACGCTATGCACGTAAACATTTTCTTTTGTTGTTCTCTCTTTGCTACTGTCTTATCCCTGCAGCACATAAACAAAGATTTAAACAAAACTACTGATTTCATTCAACAAATCCAAATTGCAACAACTTGATTACCAGTAGCAGGATTCTATTTTTTTTAACTTTTGGGTTGTGAATTTACAATGAGACCCATGAGAAGTGCATTTTCTATGAGGGTAATGATGGTCAATTGAAACAGACAATGGAACATTCTTTCATTCAGCGGTGCAGAGGAGACATCCTTGGACGGGGATGGGGATGGGTGGTCTCTGTTCTTAGGAGATTTTGTTGCAATAAAATAATAGAGACATCCCCTTTCAGATAAACCTAGTGGAGCCAATTCCAGCATACTTGGCACCAAAGAAAAACAAAATTGAAAGAAATCCAAAAGAGAAAACGTCCAAGGAGTGTGAATGTTGCATCAGCGTCACCCCTGTTATGAATGGAGTCCTTTGAGAAAGACAAAAAGGAGAGAGAAGAAAAAGAAAAAGAGCTCGGGATCAGAGAAGACCCCAACCCCAACAAAGAAAAAAAAAGTACTTGCTAGATTAAAAAATAAGCAGTCAATTATTGAAAGAAAACAAAGGAAAAACATAACGGGACATTCCCAATTGGAAAGTTGCCTAATTGGACAGTGACCAAGTCTGGAATCTATGCTTTGCTTTAACGTAACCAACAAAGATTCAAAACAAACTGTGGTCTGTTCAAGCAAGCCGAGGTTTCTGACAAAACCAAATTTTATTTTTAAAACCAACAAAATGAAAACATATCGGATCGAATATATATATATATATATATAAAGCGAATGTATAGAGAAACATTGGAGCAGTAGAGTAGTCTTCTTTTCTTTTTTCGGTGGGGGGCTGACGGATGGATGGATGGATGGACCAATCTATTTTTATCAAAGAAGAAGAAAAAGATGAGGGGCCTATTTCAAGTGTCGAGAAATGAATAGACAAAGAGACAAGAGAATATTGAGAGAGAGCAAGCAAGTGTGGACATTGAGATTTGTTTCAGTTGAAAGCTTGAAAACTACTATTGGCATCATTTATTGTTCGAAAACGACTTACCCCAATACCCCAAATGCCTCCCCTTTCTTAGCTGTCTTTCTTTATATCTCTAACTTACTCTCTCTCTCTCTCATTCCATTTCCTCTGCTCTGCTCGACTCTGCTCTGCTTTTTTCACCGGCTTCAAATTAAACTGCGTTTTCCATTCACATAAACACCTACTCAGAATCAACAGCTTTAATAAAGGTAAAGCAAAACGCTAAAGTAATGCTCTGTTTGGTTGCTGAGAAAGCAAAGAAAAAGAAAAACTTACTTACCCGAGTCAACTTTCAATAACCCAGTAAAGCTTTGAACTTCTTAGGATTGAATGATGAAATTTCACTCCTTTCTTTTTGACGCTTGAAGCTTTGAAAACAGAGCGTTAACAGATATGGAAAACAAAACATACAAAAGCTTGAATTTCGCTTGAGAATATCAGCTAAAAAATCTTGAGAAGAATGAAAATTTGATACTCCTGGGTGAAACAGAAAACGGACAACGGACAACAATATCTCGGGAGGACACAAATGCCGGCGATATATCGGCCGAGAATCCGATGACGTTCCCAGAGACGGAAAGTTTGGATACGGAAGCCCGGGATTTACGTTTCAGCCCGAAATAGCAAAAGAATTTCCGGACTAAAGACAAGGAGACGAAAACAAATCGAGGCCCAGGTATTTATATATAGGCTCTACGTCGAGAGAGGGGCAGGGGATGACGGCATCCGGGGATTCCGCCGTTAAATAACGGAGAAGTGTGCTAAAACGAAAATTTTGCGATTATTTTTAAGGAGCGAGGAACCGTTAGGAGAAGGGGAGGGGAGTGGGGATCTTTTAGAGGGAGGAAACCGGTCCAGATCGGAGAGGACATGTGGGGCCCATGTGTTTTTGCTGATGCAAGAAAGGACCGGGATCTCGTGTACCGGAAGTAGGGTACGTGGCGGGTTATGGTTGGGTGTAATTCCAACGAGGGCACTCGATGGCTGGGATTTCATCATCACAGTTTTGACTGCTGATGATGAGTGATGCGTGATGAACCATCCCATCATTGGTTTATCCTAAAAGCATTTCCTCAGATTACACTCTTTTGATTCACAATGCGAAAGACACCGTATAAGTGTCTATTTACGTTACTATTTTTGTTTCATTATATTTAAAAAAAAAATTATTTTAAATTATGCCTACTTAAACTCTTAATCATAATAAAAAAATTAATAATCATCAAATTTAATATCAATTAACATACCAAACATAACTTATATCCTGATAAATAATGTGAAATGAGTTACATGATTTTTTCATCAAGTCAAGTCATATGAATAAAAAATATCAATTAGCATTAAATTTCATGATTGTTAATATATTTTTTTAAGATTAAAAGTTTATGTGAATAAAAATTAAAAGATGATAACTTATTTAGATATTATAAAAAATAAAAATCAAATTATATTAATGGATATAATTTATGAATTTTTTTAATAATTTAAACATAATTTATACAGAGTGCAACCTTTGTAATAATTATAATTTCTTAGATACATCTACCAAAATATCTTAATGAAAAGGCCAATCATGATTCAATCTAAATGTATAAGTTATATTAGGTGTTACATTGTATTATATAATTATGAATGGAAGCAACCTAATAAATAATAATGGGTCTTAGTTCTTTAATGTATTTGCAAAATATATAACAACACGTTATTAAGAGAAGACTTCTGTATACTAGTAATCAATTTGTTAAAGTTGAAAGAAATTAAAACCAAAATTTCATATTCAACTTAATTATATATTTGTAATATATATATAGTATAAGTTGAAGGTAGAATTTAACTCGTTTTTCTTTTACGTGATTAATTAATTATAAATTTATCAATCCGTTGTCGTGTTAGACACTAAATAAGAAATGAAGTACGATATTTAAAACTTGTTTCACTAATTTTCATAAATTAATGATGATGAAAGCGCAACGGAATTTGGTTTGTGATCTCGTCCCTACTTTCATTTATTCTCCATGTGCATGTGTGTAAATTATTGATTGATAATATATATATTTATTTATAATTAATGTTTCATTTTTTGAATTAAGTATGCATTGTATTATGAGAAATTTTGAAATTGAATATATATATATATATATTTACTTATAAATTCGAGTCAAGATCCTTTGAATTTTAGTTATAGGTAGCCAATAGGTAGAAAACAAGAATGTCAAATTCACCTTTAAGAGATTATTGTCCTTAAAGAGGATATCAATGATTTTTATTAATTGAAGGATGGTGCCTCCCACTTGCAAACTCTCTCTTTCCCTGGCCTCCCATTAAGGCGTAAAGAAAAAAGGAAAAGAAGGGGACGCCATTTTAAGTGAAATTGTGTTATTCAATTTTGCCAAATCTCTTTTTGAAGATCCTTTCCTCTTTTACAGCCTAAACAACAGATTTTAAAAGTGGATATTCTAACACTCTCCTATGCCAGGCTTAGATGTTGTTGCCAATCGAATCTACTAGAAAATTGGTCGGAAATGGCGACTCCTGGCTGGATTTTCTTGACCAATCATTTGGTAATACCTAATAACGTTTAGACTTATAAGAGGAAAGGTTTAAAAAAAAAAAAGAATTTCCTTTGCTTTTTTTTTTTTTTCCATATGAATACGTGGGATTATGCAGGACAATGAAAACCTTTTGCTGAAAAGTGATGGGAAAAAAGTTTACAACCATCGAGCTTAGAATCATTGGGAGGGGTTAGTGTTAAGTTTAGGCCTAGTAGCTAGGTGCACATGGAAACCTTTGAAAAGCCAAATTAATTTATTCAAATGAATGTTTAATTTCGAATGTTGTAGGTTGGGTTGGGCATGGCGTTAACCTGCATGCCCTGTTGCATAGATTATGACGTTTTAAGCAGGCCGAGTACATTCAATCAGAATGTGTAGGGGGACAGGGTCTCACACCGGGTTATGTATTAAATTATGGGATTCTAGTAATTTTCTTTTTATTATTATAGAGGAAAGAAGGGGTTTCAGAGTGCATGCATGGTCCAATCAGACTGAAGGGAAGAGGTACATGGTTGCGCTGGAGGTGAAGGAATCAATACTGTTACAAATCCAAATTGGAATATAGGAAGATCTCCGATCTCGTCAAGAAAACATAACAAAAAGAATTGTAAGAAACCTGAAATAAATTTAAAAGAAAGAAGAGAAAAGGACCCTTTGGTTTGGGTTGATGCTTGTTTGTCTCACTTGTCTGAGCAATGGCCGCGGCCTGCAGCTCGAGAAACCTTCCCCTCCTCTTCCTTCCCTTAATGTTCAGAGATTATTGTACTTCAAGTAGACATTTGGTCACTGACTAAACCGGCTGTGACCGGTCACTAATCCTTTGGGAACTGTTTCATTTTTTGTGGCACAGATAGGGCAGGGCTTTTAACCCAGAGAAATGTTAACTGGCTATTGTCTGTTGTCAGCAATGGTTGCTATTTGCTGCTTTGGCATTATGGGCAAGGGGTGTGTGTATGTGTGGCAGTATCAGTGTGCTTTAACTTTAACCACACTGTTTTTGTCCTTAGCTTTATTCCTGAGGCTAACCTGTCTTTAAGCAAAGAATGCTTGGAATAGAGGGACAACAAAACAACGCAATGCAAATCCCTTTCTCCTCTAGACTGCCAGGCAAGCAACAGTCTTCTTTTGAGGCTAAGCTCAATCTCTCTCTCCCCATCTTCTTTACTCTTTAATATGCATTCCCCCCCCCCTAATGAGATGAGATGCCACATGGCAAGACATGGGCTGCTAAGCTTTTGGTTAAAGAGGTTCTTACAAGATCTTCTTAAGCAAGAAAAGCATAGTCAAGGTCCAAAGCCACTGTCATTCCCTCCCAATCCCAACCCCCCTTCCCTTCAGCCCTCCCATTTGTTTGGTTTTGAAGCAATTTCAAAGTATCATCCATCACTTTTAATTACAACTTTGTGATTTTTTCACGTCTCTCTTTATCTACTCTCTATGCATGTAAAGACAGATATCCAATCGTGTTATATCTGTATGTTCATGTTCATGTAGCATCAGAGGAAACCTTATCATTTCCTGATTTTGAACACCCATTTCAGATATTCAAACAGCAATGAGACCTGACATCAAACTCAAGGCAGAATACAGAAAAAACCCCCAAAGTTTGAGACAGTTTAGATATGACTCCAACTAATTATATAGAGAAAACCCACCAATTGTTACTGTTTGCTGCATTTGAAAATATAGCAGAAGAGGAAAGGTACGGGTGGGAAATGGGGATGGGAAGGGTCTCGTTTAAACGTTAGGGATGTACTTTGAAAAGTGATTATAAAGCCATTCAGTGATCCATTCTAAAGTAGATCTAATCTATCTCAATCTCCCAACTCTTTCCCTCTTTCCAATGTTTGATTACTTTAATTACACATGTTTCTTTTGATTTCTGGTTCCAGATCAAAAACATCTTCTTGCCCCATGTTAAAAGAAGAGACCAACTTCACTGTTTTGGGTTTTAAACCATAGGCAAATTTTTTATTTTTTCTTTAAAACATCTCCCAGCACCTGATTCTGGCTTTGCGTATGTAGGTTATGGTACGAGGGCAGATCCTAGGAAGCTTGCTTCTTCATGGTGTTATTCATCCCCGGTGCCAAGATTGCGTAATCTATCTTTTAAAAATGATGTTGTCTCTTTGAGATCCAAAAGGGAAAAACAAAAGAATTGGAAAGAATCAGCACAATCACTGATCTGCCCCCTGGCAATCATTAGCTTGGCTTGTGTTGATTCGAAGCCCATACTCATATGGCCCATTAAAGTTGAACTTAGGTCGGAAAAAGTACAGGGGCAAGGTTTCCCTGAGGATGGCAAGGAAAAGCTTCAAAGGGAATTGGAATTTCAAGCTGCCTGCATCTCTTTTAACAGGATAGCTCCAGAAAATGTTCCTTTATTTCAAATTTAATCAATGGACGCAACAAAATAAAGGCTATCGGTACTGTACCCTTCACTAAAAGAAGCCTTTTTTCATGCTTGGAGAAACAGAATTTCTGGGGGAATAATTTCAACCCTGCTGGTCTCATTTTGTACATTGGAAATTGTCCAGCAATTAACATTGAATTGGTAAAGCAATTATCTGGTAACGCAACAAAAAGTACTATTGATACAGCGTTTTACTCATGATAAATTGAATTGGAAGCAAGCAACCTAGATTCTTTGATTTCTTTCTTGCAGGTTAGTGTCCATGGGCCTGATCAAGACAAGAAACATAGGACGAAAAGAAGAGGAATTTGGAGAAGAAAAGACCCAATTATAACATATTACTATAAGTAGATAAGCACCATGCAGCACAGATTTGGGTCAAGGTTGGTAGGCTGAGAGAGATTCTGAGCAGGCCTAGGACAATTCCCAAAAAGTAGAGAGGTAAAAAGAACAGTAGAACCAGGGGACTATCTTGCTGCATTCCTTTTGGCAGCCAGTCCACCTTAAGATGCTCCTCCAAAGTACGAGACATAGCTCCATTCCAAAAATATATAGATTTCTGCACATAAGAATGTGAATTTTACAGGTTCAACTTCATTAAAAGTTACTTTACTGTTTGAGAATAAAAAACATCAAGGAGAAAGTATCAGAGGCATCAGAACAGGAGTATTGTACTACTTCTTACGTGATCCACCCCAAATCGATTGCCAAAAAACGGGCCAGTTCTTCTGAGCCTCGTTCCATCCTAAGAGTGAGCCTTCCCTCAATGGATCCCAACTAGAGGACACAATGCCATAACTCACCCCTAACAGGGCAGTCCCAAAGAAGAAGAAGGAAACAATGAAGGGCACCCATGTTGGGACATCAATTTTTAAAACAACCTTGACATAGTAGAAGAATGGGAAAAACAGGAGCCCTATGAACAGTGGGATTCCAACTGAGTAACCCATTCTGCCGATCATCCTGTTGGTCACTATCTCCGGTATTACGCCTGCCTCCGGTTCAAACTCTTCTTCTGCTTCATCATCATCTTCTTCTTCTTCTTTGACATCACCACTCTTCGACTTCTTTGTCTTCTTATTCTTCTTTGGTGGGGGTCCAAAGCCTCTTGGGCTGTTCAAGGTGGCATATAGGGGTACCAAGTATAATGATCGAGCTTGATTTTGGGGATGTTTTGTAACTGGAAATTGGCAAATTTTTATAATGGGAAAAACCAACGATGATGGTTTTAAGGCAGTGGTTCCCGTAAATGAAGAGGATTCCATGGTTTTCTCCACTTTAAGGCAGTCATTTATCTGTACATGTCTGCAAAGCTTACACACCAAAGTCGACTTCTCATTACCATGGTCAATCTGCGAAAAACGACGTGCATATTGCATATCAGATTGATTACTATCAAACTGAAGAATATTTGGCAAACCAAGGACTTCTAAGGACAGAACTTAAGGATCTTGTTCACCATAAAACATCAATGATGAACTGTACATGTTTTGTAGGCAACAACGGTACTCAACCAGAATATACAAGGAATGAACCTGAGTCCAATTTGTTTTAGGTACAGAAAGCTCAAGCCAATAAGGTTTCATTAAGTTTCATTTACCCTGATAACATGCATACATAAAATATTCCACAAACCAATTGTGACTAGGGATGATGTAGAACTTCAGCATGTATCATTTCAGGGGGAAAAAAGTTGGGCATCATCGTAATCTAAATTACAGAAAAGGAAAAAAGGAAAAGAATAACACAGATCAAACATTAAGAAGAAATCAGATGAAGCACAACAAACATTTTGTAAGGATTATACTGAAACACCTGACAGATTCATGAATGAATGAAAATGCAACCCAACTCTAGAATCAAATCAAGACGGAAACGAGGGGCATTTTCATGGTTAAACCTCATAATCAGCAAGGTTTTAAGTGGCAAACCAGTTCGGAAACAGAGAGTCTGATTGACAGCAAACATACCTTGTACAGGCAGGACAAAGATGACAGTGGCACACCTGCCATTCACTTCTGGCAGCTACTTCACTTTTCTTAAGTCTCTTCCGAAGTTCGCGCAGATAGCAAACCGCAAATGAGAAATCAACACTGCTACCAAATCCTATTAGGTAGTTGCTAAATTCAGAAACTCAACCCGACAGAGCCCCATCCAGAAACTCTTCTTACCAGTTACCAGAGAGGCAAGAAGCGATAAGGTTGTGTTTTGCATTTCCCTCCCCTTTTGGCCAGTACGATAAGGTTGTTTTACATGTGTGATTTTGCTTCGGGTTGGTCATGGGCTTGAGCCTTCAAATATCAAAATTTCACGGAAGACCTGGAGTCAGCCCATCCGCAAAAGCCCATCAGTCATAGCTTGGGCATTTCTATTGAGCTTTCTGACAAAACCTTGAAGATAAAAACCTTAAACTCAAATGGCGAACGATGATTGGTTAGTTAATAAGGAATTACTTTGAATACAATACAAAAACATAGAAAGGAATAGTTAAGGATGAGTATTGATCAATCAAAACCGATTAAATTCAGTTAATTCGATGTAATTTGTCCTATTTCAATTTTAATCAGATAGTTTGATTTATTCAATTATTTCAATTCACTCTTTATGTTAAACAATGATCGAATCAATAAAATGTTCATCTGCATATAATTCATGGAGGCCTATGGAGCAATCAGACAATATTAGTAATCAAGACCTCAAACTGTCCAGTCCAGGTAGAATTGTTCATGGAATTCAGAGTTACAAAGTCGTAACAGCTATTTCAGATGAACAAATTGAACAACTAACAAGGTACAACTTCATGTTTTTATCTGTTCTAGCTAAGCTTACACCTTTCAAAACAGAAACAGCTATGACGACAACATTAGTGGTAGTATTTACCCAACAGTCGTTTTTCAATACTCTGCTAATTACAGAAACCTTCCATAAGCCCGATTGTTTATCATCAATACCTGAAAATCACAGTTTAATACAGATACATTAGAAAAAAATTTGAGAGGAAACTAAAAGATATCTGCACAAAAATTAAAAAAAAAATTACAAAAAAGGCACAAACACACACATACCTTTCATTTTTTTTTGGTGTCAAATTCATTTTCTTCACAATTACCAAATTCCATGATCTTTTCATACAATGGATCCCAAATTAGGATGTTGTGTTGGGGTGCAATATTTTTTTTAAGAAGATTCATCATTCATGGAATTAAAAATGAGAAAACGAATATGAGAAAGAGAACATCAATGGTGAAAGTACCAGAAAATCCAGAGGAAATGCCTTTCAGAAGTAGTTCTAGCTTGGGATTCCAAATTGAGTGCGGAGATTGTCAATTCCTTTTTCAAAGGACTTTGAAAGCTCCGAAATGGATGTTTTGCAAACTGACAGCAATACAAATGGGCGATAAATGATGAAAATTATCAGAATTCAAAGTGTAAAATGGAACATGTGACATATCATTGGCTTAATTACTTCTAGATCAATGGGTTTTACTTGACTTCCATAATTGAAGAATAAATTTGTATAATTCAGACTTGATGAATGATCCACTGACTCATAAGCAACCTAACCAAAACCAGAAGCTGTAATTTCCAATCTGTTATAAACTCTTCATTGGGTTCCCAAATTTTTTAAACCTTGTCTAAAATCTATTAAGGCTGTCATAAAGACTTGAAACACTTAAAATGGGTAAAGAGAAGTAGCATGAAAATACCACGAGAAGCTGTCGCTTGTGCATCTGCCATGAATTCTGCATATGTAGCCTGAACAAAGATTACAGTTTTAAAAAGAACAGAAAAACGTCTTGGAATTGGAAAGGAGGTCAAGAACATTCTAAAATAGGATTAATTTCTGCTTAATGCAGAGTAGGAAGATTAACCTTCATTGCTTCTCGACTACCGTTGATCTTTTCTGACATCTTCTTGCATTCCCCTTCAGCTTCGTCCATCGCTTGCTGGCATGCCTGTGTCTGGATCTGTCAAAATAGGAATACAATAAACACTAATTCTTACAAAATTTCCCTAATTGCATGAAAATAATCAAACAGAGCTGAGAGAGAGACCTTGAAACGCTTGTGGAGGCGAGAGTGAGAGGCTTCGAGATCCTTGAGAATCTCAGAGTGAGAACGATCGATGAGGCTCCGCTTTATATCCTCCAATCGAGAAGACGCCAACTGCTTGAGTTCGGAGATGGTGGTTAGGGTTTTGCGATCGGGCGGTGTTGATTGCAGATTGAAGAAAGCAGCAGAAGCCGAATTCGAACACGAAGCGTTAGCTATATTCCTCTTCCTCTTCTTGAAAATGGTTAATTCCAGCGGAGAATCGTTTTCCTCCAGAGCAGGAGAAGCCATCGGCAACGGCGATCTTTGATTCCTTCTCTTCTGCATTTTCCCTTCGCGGCCAGACGATTTGGGTTTCAACTTCGATCGGTCTTCGAACCATTTTTGTGGTGCCGGGCTTTTATTTTTTTCAAAATTTTGCGGTAAATTTTCAAATTTGTTGGGTCATGGACGCTGCGTGCTACCCGCTGTATGTGTTAACACGTGGAAAAAGCCATTCTCATTTATGCCAGAATTTTTTTTCTTAAATCCGAAAATTTAGTAGTAGTAAAAAATTAGTAAAGAAACTAAAAACAAGACAAGTCTTTAATTTTTTTACGTAATGTTTTGTAAGAAAGTCCTTTACAAATATGTATTTTTTAATTTCACTGTTTCCTGATATATATATATATATGTATATTTAAAATTAATATAATAATAAAGTGAAAGTATAATACCTAAATCAAATATGATACAATATATGGAAATGTTATTATGTATAGTGTTAAAATATTGAATATTTAAATACATTAATTTATTTTTTATAAATTCATTTCAAGTTTACTATCTAAGTTGAAATTTACATATCCCACAAGCTTTTTTCTTTCCTAAGGGACCTAGGCAGTGACAAAGTGGAAAGTGGAAACTAGGGAAACGTGCTTCATGATGGCTTTTTATAATCCAAAAGAAAAACAGAAATAAAAGAGTGAAAATTAAGCAATGTTATGACCCAGGCAATTGAGTTGCATCATGTTCTATTTGAGAAATGAAACAGAGTGAGAAATTGATCAGAATAGAGGCCAAAAATAATGGAACAATATTCCATGAGGGCAGAGATAGCTTTAATTTGATTTGAGAAAAAGTAATTGACATTAATTAATACTAATTATTTTTTATTTAATTAATAATGTATAGAATTTATATATAAACTGTGCATCGAATATAAATTCATTTAATAATCATACAAAATTATGTTACAAAAGTGACGAAAGATTTAAGAACTTAAAAGTTAAGCCTATCAAGAATTTAAAAATAGATGAAAATTGAATGAGAAGGTTTCTTAATTCCTTGTATTGCATTCAAATGTATTGATTAAAGGAGGAGATAATATGAGGATACATGACAAGATAAATACTAAAAGGTTTAAATACAAAAAGAGATACAGTCAAAGTATGATTTGAATTCAAACTTGCTATAATTTTTCAGGTAATTGCAGTTAAAGAATTAAATTTATCTTTTCTTCCTTTAAACCCAAGCTAGAGAAGAACATAGAGACGATGAAGAAACAATATTCTATGTAAGAAAATAAAACAAAAATCATAGAGCCAGAGTTTTGGGTACTTAGTATTCTATTTTTAGGAGGAATGCTTTATACTTGGTAATGGGAAAAGCTATAAATAAGGTAACAGAATACTATTGTGCACCAACTCTTTGCCTAGAAGTCATAAAAAAAGGGAATACCCCATGACATGTATCGTGAGAAAAATTAGGACTTTTCCAGCAAAGATTGTTGGAACTGAATTTTATCTGGACAATGCATGGTTTAATGTTCATGTTGTGAAGCTTAAGACTTTGTTACTACAACCTACAAAAGGCGATTGTCAAGCTGGATTTTGCTGCTTGTGCCTGGTAAACTTGACCTTAAAAAGAATCAAAATTTAATATTAGGATAGAGTTCCGAGGATAAAGTTTGGCTATACATGGAAAATTTTCGGATGATGAGTTGTTTAAATTTAAATATGTTGAAGATATCCAGTTCACATGAGGATGTATATCCTTCTATATGGTTTATAAATAACTGGCTTTCCAATGAATCAGAAAATCACTTTCAGCTGCAAATATGTGGAATTCTTGGATTCTCGTTGCTGGTTTAGCTCTGCTGTGCACAAGCTCAGCAATACAGGTTGATTATGATGCCAATGCCATGATCATCGATGGGGAACGAAAGCTTATTTTTTCTGGTGCAATCCACTACCCTCGTAGTACCCCAGAGGTATCCGAATTCTTTTTATTTTTATTTGTTTCCATGGATGATTTGAATCTTTAGTTACAATGGAAACGTCTTGTTTACCCTCTTTGTATGCTTTACTTCACAGATGTGGCCAGACCTGATAAAGAAAGCCAAGGATGGAGGCCTGAATGCTATCGAGACATATATCTTCTGGAACGCTCATGAGCCTCGCCCCCGTCGAGTGATCATTTGTTCTTCCTTTAAACTCCTATATGTTTAAAGAATTATCAGGCACTGATCTGCCGATGCTTAACTTGTTTTCATCTGTTAAAAACAGTATAATTTCAAGGGAAATCTGGACTTCATAAAGTTTTTCAAGCTAGTTCATAAGGCTGGACTCTATGGAATTTTGAGAATAGGCCCTTACGTCTGTGCTGAATGGAACTATGGGTAAAGTTTTTCTTCTTTCAACTGATACATTGCATAGCTTCTGCTGAAGAAAAACAAATTGGTTTACATCCTTTGGTACTGATTCTTTATGATTTGTGCAGGGGCTTCCCTGTGTGGCTACACAATATTGACGGAATCGAATTAAGGACAAATAATGAAATATACAAGGTCCCGACTTTTATTACCCCTTTTATTCACTTTACATTAGAAAAACAAAAATAGAAAGAAGAAAGAAAATATAAGAACATCTGGTTTTCAAACACTTTTTTGTCTTTCAAATGTAGAAAGAAATGCAAATTTTCACAACCAAGATTGTGGAAATGTGCAAAGAAGCAAATCTGTTTGCCCCACAAGGAGGACCTATCATTTTGGCACAGATTGAGAACGAGTATGGGAATGTTATGGATAAATATAAGGAAAAAGGGAAAGAATACGTCAAATGGAGTGCGGAAATGGCAGTAGCCCAGAATGTTGGAGTGCCATGGATTATGTGCCAGCAGGGTGATGCTCCACAGCCCATGGTATTCATTTTGGCTCTTGTTTTGTTCCTTTTTTTTAATTTACTTTAAAATGGTCTGAATGTTTGTTTTTTCCTCTACAGATCAACACATGCAATGGGTTTTACTGCGATCAGTTCAAGCCAAACAATCAAAAGAGCCCCAAAATGTTTACTGAGAACTGGACCGGATGGTATTCAATCACTTTCATCTTTTTCTTTGGGTTTCTTTCTATTTTCTGGTTGCACTTGATTTATTCCTCAATTCATTATGTTCAATGTAGGTTCAAGAAATGGGGCCAAAAAGACCCTTACAGAACTGCAGAAGATTTAGCATTTTCAGTTGCTCGCTTTTACCAACTTGGCGGAGTGTTGATAAATTATTATATGGTTAGACCTCGGGTTTCTTGTTGAACCAGCTTTCATGTGATATCTGCTGCTTCTTTACTCCTTTATCTTTTTGAAACAAATACAGTATCATGGAGGAACAAACTTCGGACGCACATCTGGTGGACCATATATCACAACATCATATGATTACAATGCTCCACTCGATGAATACGGTAAGTTAAGTGATGATACTTTCAGGAAAATTTGCTAGTTAATATTGGTTCCAATAACCAAGTCTTGTGGAAAAAATTGGTTTCCCATTTTCAGGAAATTTTAACCAGCCAAAATGGGGCCATCTCAAACAACTCCATGAAGCTCTTAAAGTTGGGGAGAAGTTTCTCACTAATGGCACATCAGAAACAAAGGATTCTGGTGATGGGATTCAGGTGAGTGACAGAAGTTTTCATGAAACTCTAGACCTTGTAAATTCAGAACAAAATGAAATATCTGACATGAGTTTCAACCTGTTACCAGGTGACCACATTTACAGACGGTCAAACTGGGGAGAGATTCTGTTTCTTGAGCAATGTTAACAACAACAAAGATGCAAACGTTGACTTGAAAGATGATGGCATGCACTTTGTACCGGCTTGGTCTGTTAGTATTCTTGGTGCCTGCAAGAAGGAGATTTACAACTCTGCAAAGGTAAAAATGCTAGTATAGCTTCATGCTTATATGTGCTTGAAACGAAATAAGCTGAATAGGTTGACAGTCTTTTTTTTGTTGAATTGTCCACAGGTTAACACTCAGACCTCTGTCAAGGTAAAGAAACAGATCGATGATGAAGATAAATCTGCTCAATTCAACTGGAAGTGGACTCTCGAACCCATGAGAGACACCCTCGAAGGAAAAGGCACATTCAGTGCTGATACTCTTCTTGAACAAAAAAGAGCATCTGATGATCGTAGCGACTACTTGTGGTATATGACTAGGTAAGTCCCAAAATACATCGTCTAGTAACTATGGAGTTCACTTCAGTTTGTTGGTAATGGTACACAGACTTATCTGTTTCCATTCCTCTTTATGTAACAAAGTGTTGACATCAACGGAACATCCTTTAATGAGGGGACTATATTTGCAAATTCATCTGGCCAAGTCGTTCATGCTTATGTGAATGGGAGGCTGATCGGTAATTTCTTACCATATCTAAGGCAAACAAATGTATTCTGGTTTTCAAGTGGTTAGTACCACAGGTCTAGCTAATCAGAATTTTTATCTTTTGTTTTGGGCATTCTACAGGCACTAAATCAGGGTACTCGTTTCAGCTCAGAAACCCAGTTTCACTAGTACCTGGGAGAAACAATATAACTCTGCTCAGTGTCACAGTTGGGCTGCAGGTAGGTACCTTAAATTCTTGTAAACTTTTAACTAGCAATTCCAAACGCTGACCTATTCTTAACGAATTCTTTTTTGCTTGTTCTTACTATAACCGGAGCAGAACTATGGAGATCATTTTGATTTGGGACCAGAGGGAGTAACAGGACCAGTTGGATTGATTGACGTAGGGAATAACTCCATAGATTTGTCATCAAATGCCTGGAATTATAAGGTAACTCTCGAAAGTAAGTTTGATACAAAATATGATTGAATACTCACTCCTTTTTGCCCTCTTGGACGAAGGTTGGATTGCATGGTGAAGCCAAAAAACTTTATAAACCAAACTCACGTAATCGTCGACTGTGGAGGACATCAGAAGAACTTCCCATTGGCAGGCCTATGACTTGGTACAAGGTACTTGATAAATTCACGTCAGCACTTTGGTTAACAATTCTGGTTTTTTTTTTGTAATAGAATTTTTTTGAGTCAATGTGAACCGTAATTTTAAAAATCTTTGGATGATGTTGTGTCTAGACCGCATTCAAAGCTCCGTCAGGAAAAGACCCTGTGGTGTTGGATTTAATGGGAATGGGCAAGGGGCACGCCTGGATAAATGGAAACAGCATCGGCCGCTTCTGGCCCGCACAAATTGCTGATAACAATGGCTGCAGTGATGAATGCGATTATCGTGGGGCTTACAAAGAGCAAAAATGTTTGTCAAACTGTGGCAATCCTTCTCAAAGATGGTATAATTTCCATCATTCAATCTATAAGTTAACGAATAGTTAGTTCCAAAATCTAGAACTAAACATGTAAATATTAATTTTTTGTATCAGGTACCATGTTCCAAGATCATTCTTTACTCCCGGCACCAACTTTTTGGTTTTATTTGAGGAAATTGGTGGAGATCCTTCACAAGTGTCTTTCCAGACCGTAACGACGGGTTCAATCTGTGCAAACGCAAATGAAGGCAGCTTATTGGAACTATCATGCCATGGAGGAAATGTCATCTCGAAGATAAAATTCGCAAGCTATGGTAACCCAAAGGGAAGATGCGGCTCATTGAAAAAAGGTTCCTGTGAGGCAGAAGGAAGTCTGACTGCTTTGGAAAAGGTGGATTAGACTGTTTTCTTGGCATCAAGATGCTTATCATATATTTTTCCATAATTCACTTATTAAATAAAGTAATTAAACAAGTAATTCCTTTCTTGCAGATTTGTGTTGGGAAGGAGAGTTGCACGGTTGATGTCTCGGAGAAAACATTTGGATCAGCAGACTGCGGCAAAGATAAAAAGACTCTAGCTGTCGAAGCTCTTTGCGAGAATCAAATGGTCTATCTGAGAAAACACAAGAAAAAGAAGAACCAATCATGAACAAGTGCTTCTTCTTGTAGGAGGCAGAAACTTGTTCTCTGTTCACAACAATGATTCCTTTTCTCTGTCACTTTTGTTGTTGATCTTACTCAAGATAAACTGCTTAAAGCATGGTTGATTTTTCCTAAGCTTTTAATTGTTTCTTCCTTCAATTGGTGTAACTAATGGCCCCTCATGGTCATGATCTGTAGTATGATTTCGTTTTTCCATAAAGCAAAAATCCAGATTATGAGACAATATTTAACTGGTTAAAATTGTGTCAGAGAAGTTGCCATTTGTGAATCACTTATAATTTAATTCCAGCAATGTCGTCTACCGAGAGGAGTGGTAGCAGGTAACCAATTTGATGTGAAATTTAACCCTAGTTGAATACGTCAATCAATCCAAGCTCTCTACAAAACAAAAAATGACAAACCAATCCATAAAGAAATTCATGAATAAATGAACAAAATTCAAATGGAAGACCAAAATACCAATAACACAGCTACAAAGGAACATCACTCTATATATTTATTGAATATTGTAATGATCCATTTTCCCAGACACTGAGAAGAAAAGGAAAATAATAATAATAAAAAAAAACCTTTGAATATTAACAGTGATATCAGTTTGTGAGTTGAACATCATTGTCAACTTGAATTTCCACTGTAATATATAACGAAAAAAAAAAAGCATGAAGTAAATTACTTACAATTGATATGAGCACTGATACGCAAACTGAAGCAGAGGATGATGCTTGATCAGAGGAAGAAGCAGTTGGGGCTTCCCACCAGCCACGTTTGATCAGAAGCAGAAGCAGAAGCAGAAGCAGTTGGGGCTTCCCACCCCACAGCCCAGTACATCAGAACAAGAGATGATTCATGGCTCAGAATCCAAATTTTGACTTCTCCAATTTTCGGCTGACGTAGATGATAATAAGTCAACTTTTAGCCTAAACCCTATAAATTTTTTGACTTCTTATTTAAGACTTGATTTTGCTTTATCTTTCTAGGACTAGAAACTCCAATCGTTTTCTAAGGTTTTGTCTTGTATGAGTATTTGTTTATTACTAGAATTTTTTTGAATGACAATTTGTTTCTAGAATTTGGGTGGAATAGGTATACACTGAACAAGAAGAGCACCATTAGCAGCACAATTCATGAATGATTTTGCACACCTGCTTTATTCAACCATGCAGGCTGCAGCATTGCATTAGACTCGTTGCCATAACAGATTATGGTGAGGTAACTTTTTCTGGTCTTTTTAGCTATTAAGCCCTGGCCCAAGGATTTGCATTAATTTCTTCTCGTGTGGGTGTTTGATTGGGTCGGGCTAGGCCTTTCTGTTCCTTTTCCTCTCTTTCTTCTGCTGGGTGTGGGCTAGTTTAATATTTACTAAAGTTTGGAACAATAGATGATAATGGCAATAATTTTGATCGCACATAAAGAATGCAAATCATTAGTGGGTTTGAATTAAAAAACTTTTACTATCCCTTTTTTTACCTTATATTTACCTTAGTTGAGTTTTGTGACATGATTTGAATGACAAGGAGGTCGGAGACCTCAATGACCATAAAAGTCTTCTTGTTTTAGTAATAAAATACTCCATCTTTCCATTTATTTCTCTTCTTTGTTTAATCTGTCCTCTTGGTATTTGGGGTTTTTGACTTATGCCTATGAAGCTGGGTTTTGAGTTTTACATCGAATTCCATTTCGAACATGAAACTCTCTTGAACCTCTGTTCTGTTTCTTTGCTTCAAACACATTCTCGGTTATACTTTAACCAGGAATCTGAATTTTTGGGAAGCTAAAGGATTGTGGTTTGTCAGGGGATATGGCCAACTCGAGTGAACAGCAAAGTCGTAGTTCCAGAAATGGCTCTGACCGGATAGAGATCCTGTACGACAAGTACCAAAGGAATTTGCCTTCTTCATCTGAAGAGAAGTCGAGCAAGGGAAAGTTTCACAACTGCGTCGAGAAATTTTTCGAGGCAGCAGCAAGGGGCGACAATCCGTCAAGCAGCAAAGATCAGAAACAGGCTGAAAACCCTGCAGCTGCAGCTGCTCCTGCTCCAAATGGGAGGGCTACCCAAACCCAAAACAATAGCGACGAAGGAAGCTCGTCACAGACGAGAAAAATTCGCAAGACTTATTCCTATCCACCCAAGGTTCGGGGTTTTGAATACGATGAGAGGTCACTCGAAATGATGCTTCTCGAGGGTGGGGAGGACAATTCGTTCAAGACAATCGGAGTTGTGGGGCTCCCCGGTGTTGGAAAAACAACCCTTTGCAAGTCGATTCTCAAAAACGAGAGAGTGAAGGGTAGCTACGGTCGAAGGATCTGGGTAAGCTCGCCGGAGAAGCCTGACGACGAAACAACGTTGGATCATACTGGAGCTACAGAGGACATTGAGGAGCTCATTTCCTATGAACATGAACTTCCTGGATTGCTCCGTGGACTTAACCAGAAATTGAAGGAGAAGAAGTACCTAATCGTGCTTGATGATGTTGGGGAGGGAGAGATCGACAGCTGCTATAACGCTCTGAACACTTGCTTTAGCGATGAACTTCCAAAGGAGAAAGGGGGAGCAGTTATCGTGACAAGCAGATCCGAGGAAGCAGCAAAGAAAGTGGTCGGAGACAGGAACTTGCATCGCCTTCTGCCCCTGTCTGATCCAAAGAGCTGCTGGTTAATATATACCGATGCGGTGGAAGGTTTTCCAACACCAGAAGACGCAACAGCTTCGAAAGATGTGATGGAAGAACTCATGAAGAGATCTGGCGGTCTACCTGGGGCTGCACATATGATGGGTAAAATCAAGGCTGCCAAAAAAGGGAATAATAATAGCCCTGTAAGGTCTTGACAATTCTGGCTTCAAAATTTATGGTTTAGATTTCAGTCCCATTGCATTTGATTGAGCTTTGAGAATTTGATTTGGGTTTGTATTGCGTTATTTGTCGGTAAAATTGTGAGATATGATTCACCTGTTTTCGCTAGTAAGATGTAGTACTTGGTTTGAATCATTACATGCAAGAGCAAGACATGGAGATGTAGTTGCTTGCTTCCGAGTTCTGAGTTGTTAGGAGATCTGTGTCTCTTTCACAAGTTGCTGCAGTCTACTCTCCGGGAACCAAAATCACTCCCTTGGGAGTTTCTTGTCATTTGGCTTATTAATTTATTTATTTAATTTCATATTTTGAAATTCAATGCTTAAAGTCTTACTATTTTGTCATTTTATGCAATAATTCGATTTATTATTAGTCAGGGAAAAAACAAAGGGAAAAGCCAGGTGGCAGGTGATGATTGGCTGAGTTAGACTCGCCGGTCGTGTCAGTGAGGTTGGGCCCGCCAATCAAGATGCCCCTATGCTAATGTGTGGATGGGTTTGGTTTTTGGCATTTTATATACAAATATTACATTTTATTATAAAAATTTAAAATTTTAATATTAAGTTTCTTAAAATAAAAAAATGAATTTCATAAATAAATATTTTTATTATTTTTATTTTAAAAAATAATAAACGAGTGTCATCGCACGTAAATATTTAATTCATGTGTTATTGTATGATTTTCCTGATTAAATAGTAAATTCGAATCTCCTTTTTTTTTTCAAATCTAATAAAAAAAACAAGTATTGTGTATTAACCACTTAATCAAAAAGGTTATTTTGATATATTTTTTGTTACACTTGAAATAGTGAAGGTTATCATATTTATGGGAAATGACCCTTAGATGTTTTTGTTTAGGTAAGCTTAATTAATAAAGAGCACAAAATTGTCGAATACAACAATGCTTTTCGAAGAAGTTAAAAAAAAAAGAAAGTGAAACTGAGAATGGAACACACTTCCAGTCTTTCAAAAACAAGAACCGAAAATTAAAAATGGAGAGCAGCAGATGATGCGGACATAGCCAAATCTGGTAGAAATCTTCAAACTTTTCAACTTGATTTGGGAGATTTTTGCCACACTCCACGTGCATCGCACGGGCAGAATGTGATTCGAGGGCATCTAACTTTCTCCAAATACTTGAGTTCTGGAAATTGTTTCAGCATTTCTTTCCAGTTCATCTTAAAATCAATCAAGAACTTCAAACGTAAGGTCTCCACCTTCCACTTCTCCTCGCCGTCCTGATTTAGGTGACGGAGTCTTCCACCTCGAACGGAGAGGTTCTGTAGGCTTTTCAGCTTTTCGGGTGTTAGCCACGTGGGCGGTTCTGTGTGAGGGAAGCATTGGAGGTCCAGCTTCACCAGACTCTCAAGGCCTTCAAAATCTTTTGGTTTTCTTTCTCGCCTTAGTGACGTTGGTTTCCTTAGTGAGGCTCCCCTTTGTAAAACAGTTTCCTGCTTCCTTCTGTCATGTTTCTCGCTCACGTTGAAGGCCACTGATTTCGCTGCACCGAGTTTTTGCCCTTTCTTATCGTCCTCCTGGT